GAAAACATTTTCCAACTTTTGAAAATATGCCTAATTTTCCTTGTTTGTAAGAAAAATATTTTCCTCGAGTAGAGGTGGTTTTTATTTTCCACAAAAGATGAAAAATATTTTCCTTTCTATGTGATATTTTCCATGTCAATCAAACACACTCTAAATTCACCTTTTGGTTGCAAGTCCAACCCTATAATAAGAGAATAATGTTATGTAACAGTTTAGTATAACTCCAGGTCATGGTGAATTTCATTGACTAAAATGGGCAACAGCCATAATTGAGGTATTTGTAACCCACGCATACAAGCAAATGGGCACAATAAATGCCCCTAACTCTTCGTTGAACCTCGGAATACAATTCGCGAAGCTCGCCTACTGATAGTGAAGTGCAAGGCAATTCGTGAAGGAACAAGGGAATAGAAAGTTCACCCTAAGTAGGTGAACATTCCCCATCAAGGCTAGCTACAAGTTATTAATAGAATACAGGTGGGCCAATGAATAAACGTGATAGTCTTAATGAAATCAGTTACAAGCTAATCAATAATAGGCAGTCATCTGTCATTTTCCTAAATGGTTGAATTACACCGAAACTTGGAAATAAATCTATAAATACTCCACTTTTAAAATGAAATGCATGCAATTCAAATATTTTCCTTCAAAATAGTCATTTTCGCTCTTGCTTCGAATTTGAGCATCAAAACTAGTGATTTAGGAGGTGAAAATCCTGGTCAGGCGAGATGATTTATTAATCTAATTTATATTGTCAACAGATTGACACCATCTGTGTGAAGTTTTGAACAAAATAAACAACGAAATTTTGTTGGAGCTAAAGAAATCTCGAAATCCCTAATATCTAAGAAAAATGGGTTCAACTGAAGGAAAATTACCGCTGGAGGTTGAAAACAAAGAATCCAATAGTGACAATCCTGTGAATAGCAATGCTAATCCAAAACGACCGCTGGAAGAAACCCCGTAAAGTCGTAAGTCGGCATTTCTTTCTCAACATCATCGTTTAAAGAAAAAGATATCCTTTGTAAAAACAATCCAGGAGTTAGCTAAAAGCCTCAAAAGTTTTAACGACCTCGATTCCAAATCGTTACTTTGGTACTTTGATTTATTGGTTAGCTTTTTGGCTTGTAAATTAGGACTATATGAGTTCATGAGAGATTAGCAAAGTCGACGACAAAAAGGGTAAAAGCAGGTATGAGCGGAAAAAGAATAAGTTGATTAATTTTGTAGATAGTGCTATGAATAAGATTGTTATGCCCTAGGTAACTCGAGAATGAAATAATAGTGGTTTATAGGCAAGTTTGTTCACATTGATTAGGCAACCACGTTAGAAAATTCGATGCAATTGGATACTCTAGCACAGTCAATCATGTAAGAATTAGATAAAATTAAAAAAAAAAAATACAACTTTCTATACAGAATCAAGTCTAAGAGCAAATTTCATAGACAAAAGCCATTGGTTTTGGACGAAATTCCAAAATTTAAGTGGTTGAATCGACACTTTTATATTATGGCGAAAGTTAATTTTCATTTATTTGTTCCAAGATAATTTGTTTCTATGCTTCTATTTTCAAGATTAGTATTTATCATCCAAGGATTATACAACTCAATATACCTTATATACTTTGGATCATATATATTAAGACTTTTTAGTAAGGCACCCACAATACTGAACATAAGTAAAAAAGAGATTCATGTGATAAAAATTGTAAATTGTCTCAACTCATTCATATTTTGGATATAATTTCTCATAAAATAAGCAAACCATTAATATTTGTAAATAACCAAATGAGGGGATTTGCACCTCTCAAGAATTCATACACACTTCAATCCATTTTCCATAAGCATCAATGAACTGCTTTTTTCGTTTTCCCGCAAAGACTTAAGTTAAAATTTTGGAATCTCAGTGTCTCAAACATTTTCCGTTGACTGAGATATCAGTGGCTGAGCGAGTGAGGACTTGTTATGGTTGATTATTGTTTGGTTGGTCCCGTGGTCCGCGTTGGACTGGATCGCGTTCTTTTGCATTGAGAATTTCCTTTCTTCATTTTTGCCCCACAAGACTAGGTATAACCCTACTATGATCAACACTGCTCCAATTATCCTGTGCATCGCAACGACATGTAAATATTTGGAACTGACCACTAAAAAGGATCAAAGGAGTGACAAAAAACGAAAGTAAATATCATTTAAAATTATTCGTAAGTAATTTCTATTATGTTATTTATAATCTTCTTATAATGCAAAAGATAATGGATCTTACTGGGTACTAAGTGTGTAGTAATTGTAAACATAAGGTTAAAATTAAAGTTTAATTTTAATTTTCACTGTAAGTAACTTTAGCTTATATTTAAACACAACCATACAAATGTATTGAAAAGAATTACCTTAATAACTTCTAATTATAGGTTTAGCTAAGCATAAAGGTTGCTTTTCAATATTATTGCCCTTTCTTTATAGGTTTAGAAAGGCCTGATCTTATATGTAAAAATAACTTATATTAACACTAGACAGGGGAGAGATTAAGTCCCCATTTGGTAGTAATTTTTTGACCGCTATTTCACTATTTCAGCTATAATTTTTAATTCATCACTCACAGGTAGAACCCAACGGTCAAGAAAATCAATTTTCATAATCACTGCAGAACAGACTCTAAGCATAAAAGTTTTTATTTTTGGGTTTAGGCATGTATGCTTTGTTTTTTTTTTTTTTAAAGGTGATCAGTGGATTTCACCCCTCCCCTCGAAAGGAGTCTAGAATTCAGATTATCTTTCTTGTGGCTTTGCTTTTACTTCTTGAGCTAGACCTTGCCCTCATGTATGTTTTTATAAGTAAGAAAATTACTTATTTTACAATAATACGAGTATATCATACCCTCCCAAGTAGAATTCCTCTCCCAGCGCAGCGGAGGCCATAATGGCGACTACTAGCGTCTGAACTGGCTGATAGACCGCCACAAATACGGGGCCGCCCCTTTCAATGCACCATATCTGTACAGCAAATGCAATCCCTGATGCTACCACTCCCTGCATCCATATGTTAAGATTTAAATTTATATAAATAAATATTTCTTCCTTGAAAGTTCTTTTAAACAAGGTTATTCAATGTGGTATCATAGTCGACAGTTTATGTGAGAACTCGTAAGTTTTACATCCCTTTCTTTATCACATCTAGCCTCGGGATTAAAATCAGATTTTTAGTAAATTTTGATAAAAGTTGATGAAATGTATAGTAGAAAAGTTGTGGATTTCACAAAATGTGTGGTCAAAATTAATTATTTTCTTCGATTTATATTAAAATCTGAATTTTAATTTCAACCAAATAGGAACGTAATCTTATTTCCCCTAATGCACAAGCAATGCCCTCTATGACTCAAAGGTGCAAAGAATAAATGTATTTTCTTTAATAATTTACTAGTTCTAAGTATTTATTTTTCTATAATACCGTCAAGTGCCATCCAATCAATACTAGAACTGAAAATGTTAAACTTACTGCATAGAAAACACTGAAGAGCTCTCCACCAGAGTGAACAAGCCAGGCCTGGATGTCTCTCTCCATAAAAGCAGCAATAACAAGAAATTGTATAACTCCAAAGAAACACTGATAAGAAGTAAATGAGAGCCTTGCGGGGTATTTCTTGAGTATTGGAGCCTGCAAGACAAGCCATGCAGACCACGACAGGCAATGACCAATCAAGAAAATGCACCCCAGTGTCCAGTTCTTGCCATCAGCATTTCCTAAGTTAAGCAACAATATTGGTGCTGTATTTTGCACTGGTGGTAGAGAAGGACTATAAATGGTTGGACCTGTTGAAGACGGGATTTAAATAAATACATGAGGCACCTCTCTATCGAAATAAGCTTTCAGATGAGATGGTTATTAACATGGTTTTAGAAGACAAGTCTCGCAGCCACCCATTATGAAATTTTTTTCAATTGATACATCTTAGATTGAAAAAGGAATACGGTTACCTTTGTACAGTGTAATCACAGAAGCTCCAGTGACGCAGAAGAGTGTCCCGACCACTTTCGAGATACCATCTTTTCGATCAAGTCTTACCTTTTCAATCCTGGGTATCAGTGATGCAGGACATGACATTAGAATTGGATCGATTTTATGTTAATTGGAGTACT